CTGCCGTGTGGTGCGGTGCGCGCTGCCGGGCGGTGGCCCATAACAGGTGCGTGTTGCACGCTGCCAGGCGGTGCGTGCGGCTGGGCGGCCCGCTGTGCGTGCTATTGCCTTATGACTGCGCCGCAGTATGCTTCCGGCTGGCATGCCCATAACAACTTTAAGGGCCCATAGCTCTCTCCAAATGTGATTTTCCATCGCTCAAACACTCCTCATAACCAAGAATCACTAGACTGTTATTGGATAGATTCTTAGCTACAAAGTAGGCTGACTTTACATAGAAAAGCCCATTTCTATTTGGGGTTTAGAAAAGCTTGTCATGCCACTTGCCTGAAGCCAGCGGGATGTTCAGAATGCTCTCGGCATAAATCTCACGGAAGGAGTTCCTAATAAGATGCTTCATTCCAACTTCTGCTTGACTCAGACATAAGGTCTTTGACATTAATTAGGTTGACAGCTTGAGGCTGTGGCCCCTTAATTTTGAACCTAGGAATGACTGGGAGCCATGGGTCCTCCCATATTTTGATATTTTCTCCCTTGTTCACAGCCCAACATGCCCCAACCTTAATAACATCCCTAGCAGCCAACAAGCTCTACCACCCCCATGACCCTCTTTTAGAGATATTGGATAAGAGAAAACTTCTTCCTTTTAGATATCTAGCCTTCATAATCTTGATCCATAGACAGTCTTCATTTGTACAAAGTCTTTAAGGCCTGCTTAGCTAGCAAGTCCAAGTTGAAACAGTAAGGGTCTCTAAAATCCCTTCCCCCATCTAACTTGTTTCGACTTGCATTGGCCCAACTAACGTAGTGAGTTTTCTTTCTATCCCCACTATTCCATCAAAAGCTCGTCTAGAGATTTGTCAATTTGTTACAAACTACTTTAGGAAGTAAAAAATAGGACATAAACTAGGTAGGAATTGCAACAACCATAACTTTTAGTAAAATTTCCTTCAGCTTGGGAGAGCAAAAGATCTCGCCAGTTCTTTGTCTTGTTTTCAGTTCTTTCAATTAAGTGATTATAGAGGGCTTTTTTGAACTTTCCAATGGCAGTATGGAGACCCAGGTATGTAGAGGGTTCAACTACCCTCTTTATTCCCAGGGTTTTGGCTAATAACTTTTGGAACCTATAATGAAGGTTAGAGCTGGAATAAATTTCTGATTTATCCAGGTTTACCTATTGACCAGAAGCCTTCTCATAGTTGTGAATAGCATCCAAGAGAGTATGCCCTTTGATTGGGTCAACCCTAGCAAACAAATAACTATCATCTACAAAAACTAGTTGTGAGACCACCGGGCATTCTCTATTCATTTTAATGTCTGATAATTGATTAGAATCCACAAGATTTGACAGTTTTGTAGATAACACTTTCGAGACAAAGAGGAAAAGATAAGGGGACAAGGGATCTCATTGTCTTAATTCCCTCATAGGGTTTATGGTAATCCCAGGAGATCGATTTACAAGAACCTTGTAAGAAGTCGGGGTTACACATTCCATGACCTACTGAATCCATTTTTCTTCAAAGACTAACCTTTGAAGCACTTGCCTTAAGAACACCCAATCAACCCTATCATAACTTTTACTCATATCTAGTTTTAAGGCCATCCATTTCTTCTTTCCCTTAGTCTTCTTGGTGAAGTCAATAACTTCATGGGCTATAAGAATATTATCCAAAAT